GGGCGCGACACCGAGGGTTGCGATCCCGTTACCGGTCAGTAAAAAAGACACAAAGGAAAAAAAATAATAAATAAATAAAAATCTGCTCATGTCATTTCTCGGTTAAAAGCCCCTCCTACTGCACTTAGGATGAAATCCAAACTGATTACCATAAACGGCACATCCCGGTGTGACCTGGCCCTGCCTACATCCCTACCACTCTCCCCTTTCTTTCCTTCTGCTCCCTGAACATGTCTGTGGCATAATAAGAAGTATATTTGGTTTTTGTCCTCTGTTCCTGGCACAGAGCTCCTAAAACCTGAGGAATTTCCTGAGTGATAGGAGTGTCTTTTGTCCTTCATAAGGAGCCCCCATGGGCCACACCAGAGTTTATGCTACTGAGGTGACTTAGGGTGGGGCCCCTGACAGTCTCAGGATGGGGCTGGTCACCAGAAAGGCCAAGTGGTTAAAGGGTTGGAACTTTCAACCCTACCACCTCCAGGATGGAAGGGAAGGCTGGAGACGGAGCTCTATAAACATTCTTGAAGAAGATCTGAGATTTGAGCGCTTGCCGGTTGATGAACACATTGTGTTTGGTGGCACACCCAGAGGGGATATGGAAGCTCTGAATTCTACCCCCTGCCCCATACCCTATGCAAGTCTTTCATCTGGCTGTTCCTGAGTAGTATCCTTTATAATAAACTAGAAAAGTAAGTGAAGTGTTTTCCTTGAGTTCTATGAGACGTTCTAGCGAATTATAGAACCTGAGAAGGCAGGTTGTGGGAACCACAAATTTATAGCTGGCCAGATGTATGGGTGGCCCCCTGGGATTTGTGACTGGTGTCTGAAGTGGGGGCAATCTTGTGGGACTGAGGCCTTTAACTTGTGGAATCTGACACTACTAAGTAGATGGTGTCACTGAATTTTGACACCCAATTGGTGTCAGAGAATTGGAGAACTGGTTGGTATCAGAGAAAATGATGTTCCAACCTCAAAATCCACCCTAGGGATTTTGTATTTGCTGTTCCTTCTGCCTGGAAGGTTCTTGGCCCAGGTCTTCACTCTGCTAGTCTTTCAAATCATT